GGGGGGGGGGTGGGGGGTCACTGCCACCAGCCTGGTGGCCGAGGACAGAGCCCGGAATGGCACGGATGGACCCACGGCACAGACAGACCCCCGGGGGGGTCACGGCCATCCCCAGGGCCTGAGGACAGACCCCTGCAGACCTCCGGGGGGGGTCACTGCCATCCCCAGAGCCTGAGGACAGACCCCTGCAGACCCCCGGGGGGGTCACGGCCATCCCCAGGGCCTGAGGACAGACCCTGGGCAGACCCCCGGGGGGGTCACGGCCATCCCCAGGGCCTGAGGACAGACCCCTGCAGACCCCCGGGGGGGTCACTGCCATCCCCAGGGCCCACAGATCCCAGGACAGAGCCTGGAATGGCACGGACGGACCCACGGCACGGACAGACCCCTGCAGACCCCCGGGGGGGGCTCACGGCCAGCCCGGTGCCCAAGGACAGAGCCTGGACAGACCCACGCACGGACAGACCCACGCACGGACACGTCCTCGGCTCTGGGTGGCCCCTTGGCACAAGATTCCTGCCACCCCAGCAGAGCGGCCGGGAATGGGGAGCAGAGCCCCAGGGATGGGGCCAGGGGGGTCTGCGGGACCCCAACCCTCCAAGGGCGCTGGAAGAGCAGCCCCAGGGGTGGGCACTGAGGGGACCCGGCCCCAAAGGCGAGCTGGAGATGTCAGCACCGGGAAATCCTGGTCCCGAGCACGGCTCTGTCACCACGGGGCGAAAGGAACCGCTGGAAAATCCAGCTCGGGGTTTTGGTCCCCGCAGGAGACTCAAAGCTTCAAACTCTTCAAACGGGGAGCGCCCACGGCATTCCCAATTCCTGGAGCCTGGAGGGGACCCAGCACCTGAGCTGGGGGCACGGGCAGACCCCTGGCATTGGGGGGCACCACCCAGGGATGCGGAGATTCCAGGAGATTCCCCCGGGAGCTAAAACCGCACCGCGAGGCCGGGAATATTTTGGGAGGCCGGTGCCAGGGGGGCGCCGAGGCTTCGCGGCCGTTCCCGTTGGAATCTCCAGCCTGGGACGGCAAAGAGCCCCTGGAATGTCACCTTGGGGTGGGACAGCAGTGGCACCCGCGGGGATCCGCAGCACGGGATCTGCCGCAAACCGGGCCCCAAAAAAACCCCAGCGGCCGCTGCCGCTCCGGCCGGGATTGGCTGCGAGGCGCTCTGAAGTGCAAATGAAGGATTTCCGCCAGGTCGGAAGTTAATTTGGAAAGGAAAACCATCCCTGATGGATGCAGGGACCCCCCGAGGGGCACAGGAGGTCCCTGGGCCTTGGGGACGAACCGCGGAGCCACCCCCGAGCTGTGGCGGGGTCGCGGAGGAGCAGAGGGAGGCAGGACAGGTCCGAGCCGCTGGAATTGTCTCACCTGAGCCATTCCCGGGGATTTGGGAATCCCAGGGGATTCCCAAGGCTGGGTTTGCCATGGAGCCCCCTCGGGGGAAAAGGGGAACCCCCCTCTGTGCCCCGTGTCCTTTTTTCCCTCTTCCCAACATTTCCTGGGAAGTTTGAAGCCGAGGGCAGCCTCAGGGAAGTTCCCAGGGCTGGGGGGGATCCCTTGGACACCCTCTGGAATGTTTGGGATGGGCAGAGGGAACCCCCCCTGGCCAGGGGGGTTGCAGTCCCCCGGACATTTGGGGCGCAGGGGCTGAAGGGATGGGAATGGCTCCGGAGCTGCCCCTGCGGCCGGGCTCCATGGAAATGTTGGGAAAACGGGAAAATCCTCCCTCCCCGGAGGACAGGGACTGGGATGGGGACAGGGATGGGGACAGGGATGAGGACAGGGGTGGGGACAGGGACGGGGACAGGGATGAGGACAGGGACTGGGACAGGGATGGGGACAGGGATTGGGACAGGGATGGGGACAGGGACGGGGACAGGGATTGGGACAGGGATGGGGACAGGGATTGGGACAGGGATGGGGACAGGGACTGGGACTGGGATGGGAACATCACTTTCCAGGGCCTGGCACAAGATTCAAAACCACCTCGGCCACCAAGAGAAAAACGGCAAAGCCGGGATTCCCCAGCTGGAGAGTCACATTCCAGAGGGTGGCACCGGCTCCGGGGTGTCCTGTCCCCTCCGGGTGGGAAGCAGCGGGTGACAGAGCCTGGGAAAAGTCCCGAGGCCACCGCAGCACGTCCGAGGCTCCAAAACCCACCCGTGGTTTGTTTTCCCCTCCTTTTCCAAGGAAAATCAGCTTTTCCCTCGGAGTGGGAGCTCAGAGCATCAGCCCGGACCCAGGAAAAGGCTCCTGGATGAATCCGCGGGGGGAGCTGCTGATCCCAGGAATAATCCCGGGAATAACGGGCTGTGGCTCCGGAGCTGCCCCTGCGGCCGGGCTCCATGGAAATGTTGGGAAAACGGGAAAATCCTCCCTCCCCGGAGGACAGGGACTGGGATGGGGACAGGGATGGGGACAGGGATGAGGACAGGGGTGGGGACAGGGACGGGGACAGGGATGAGGACAGGGACTGGGACAGGGATGGGGACAGGGATGAGGACAGGGATTGGGGACAGGGACTGGGACAGGGATTGGGGACAGGGATTGGGACAGGGATGAGGACAGGGATTGGGGACAGGGATGGGGACATCACTTTCCAGGGCCTGGCACAAGATTCAAAACCACCTCGGCCACCAAGAGAAAAACGGCAAAGCCGGGATTCCCCAGCTGGAGAGTCACATTCCAGAGGGTGGCACCGGCTCCGGGGTGTCCTGTCCCCTCCGGGTGGGAAGCAGCGGGTGACAGAGCCTGGGAAAAGTCCCGAGGCCACCGCAGCACGTCCGAGGCTCCAAAACCCACCCGTGGTTTGTTTTCCCCTCCTTTTCCAAGGAAAATCAGCTTTTCCCTCGGAGTGGGAGCTCAGAGCATCAGCCCGGACCCAGGAAAAGGCTCCTGGATGAATCCGCGGGGGGAGCTGCTGATCCCAGGAATAATCCCGGGAATAACGGGCTGTCCCCGGCCGGGGTGGTGGCACGGGCGGCTGGTGTCACCTCCGAGGCTCCAAAATCCGCTCGTGGCTCATTTTTAGCACCTTTTCCAAAGAAAATCAGCTTTTCCTCCTCTTTTAGGTGGAGCTCAGCACATCAGCGTTGGGAGCTGCTGATCCTGGGAATGAGCCTGGGAATGACGGGCTGTCCCCGGGCCGGGGTGGTGGCACGGGCGGCTGGTGTCACCTCCGAGGCTCCAAAATCCGCTCGTTTTTTTCCACCTTTCCCAAAGAAAATCAGCTTTTCCTTCTCTTTTAGGTGGGAGCTCAGCACATCAGCGTTGGGAGTAATGATCCTGGGAATGAGCCTGGGAATGAGCCTGGGAATGAGCCTGGGAATGATCGTGGGAATGATCGTGGGAATGAGCCTGGGAATGACGGGCTGTCCCCGGGCCGGGGTGGTGGCACCGCTGGCAGCTGGTGACACAGCGCTGTCACCTCCGAGGCTCCAAAATCCGCTCGTTTTTTTCCACCTTTCCCAAAGAAAATCAGCTTTTCCTCCTCTTTTAGGTGGAGCTCAGCACATCAGCGTTGGGAGCTGCTGATCCTGGGAATGAGCCTGGGAATGATCGTGGGAATGAGCCTGGGAATGACGGGCTGTCCCCGGGCCGGGGTGGTGGCACCGCTGGCAGCTGGTGACACAGCGCTGTCACCTCCGAGGCTCCAAAATCCGCTCGTTTTTTTCCACCTTTCCCAAAGAAAATCAGCTTTTCCTACTCTTTTAGCGGGTGGAGACCGTAGGCCAGCCCTGGGCAAAGCCGGGAGCTGCAGATCCCGGGGATAATCCCGGGAACGATGCGGGAACGTGTCCCCGGGCGGGGTGGTGGCACAGATGGCTCTGGTGACACAGCGCTGTCACCTCCGGCTCCCCCGGAGAGGAAACGCCAGCTCGGCACTCCCCTCCCACGGCGTCTCCGAGCGGGGGCCGGAGCCTGGCAGAGGCTCCCGGGAAAGGAAGCAGCAGGAAAAAAATAAAATAAAATAAAATAAATAAAATCAATAGGGAAAATCAAAATAAAAGCGGGTTTTTAACGTCTGCTTTGGGAGGGGAGTAAACGGATCCTGCCCGGGGTTTTCCCAGGGTTTTTGTGCAGCTGGAGGAGCGCCCCGGGGGGGTTATTTATAATATTTATATTATTTGATTAATTGATAGGTTTGATGGATTGGTTAATTAATGAGGGTGGGGCTGTGGGGGATGAGGATTCATCCCCAGGGTGGGATCGGGGCCTCGAGCTGCTGACGGAGCCGAATCTTCAGGAATTTGGGATCTCCAGCCAGGATTTGGAAATCTCCAGGAGTCTGGGATCTCTGGGAATGCGGGATCCCCAGGAATTTGGGATCTCCAGCTGGGATTCCGAAATCTTCAGGAGTCTGGGATCTCTGGGAATGTGGGATCCCCAGGAATTTGGGATCTCTGGCTCCACCGAATTCCTTGTGATGCAGCCCAAAAAGGCCTCCAAAAAACCCCAAAACCACCACAAAAAGCCCTCTAACCCCCCCCCAGGAAAGGCCTAAAGGATGCAAAGCCCCCAGCCCACCCCCAAAAAAGGTCCCAAAACCCTTCCAAAAGCCCCCACCCCTCCAAAGCCCAAAAACCCCAAGAAAACCCCACCAAAAAAACTTCCAAGAAGGCAAAAACCACCCAAAAAAGGTTCCCAATAACCAAAAAAAGCCCCTTAGAAAGAGAACAAACCCCTCAAAAAACAAACCCCTCAAAACCGCTGAGAAAAGCCCCCAAACCCCCCAAAAAGGGCCCCAAAAAGGCCCCAAAACACCCTTCAGAAAGCCAGAAAAAAAACAAACAAAAAAAGGCCCTCAAAACCCCCCAAAAACCCCTAAAAAACCTTAAAAAAGCAAAAAAAAACTCTAAAAAAAGAGTTCAGAGCCGTTTTTTGCACTACTCTCAGTGTTTATTCTGCACTGCCTCAGCCGGGACCGGGCCCGGGACCAGAACCGAGATCAGGACCGGGCCCAGAACCAGAACCAGAACAGGAACCAGAACCGGGACCAAAACGAGAACCGGGCCCAGAACCAGGATCAGAACGAGACCGGGACCAGGACCAGAACCGGGCCCAAAATCAGAACTGGGACCAGGATCAGAACCGGGCCCAGAACCAGAACTGGGACCAGGACCAGAACTAGACCAGGACCAGAACCAGAACTGGAACCAGAACCGGGCCCAAAATCAGAACTGGGACCAGGATCAGAACCAGGACCAGAACCAGAACCAGACCAGGACCAGGACCAGAACCGGGCCCAGGATCAGAACTGGGACCAGGACCAGAACTGGACCCAGAACCAGCCCCTGAACCAGGACCAGAACCAGACCGGGACCAGGACCAGAACCGGGCCCAGAATCAGGACCAGGACCGGGCCCGGCCCCGGCTCCTCCCGCCCAGGAGCGGCTTTTTTTTGTTTTTTTTAATTAAATTTCTCACATTTCTAATTTTTTCCTCGCCTTTCCTCTGCTTTTGTCCCCCCTCTGGAACGGGCGCCCGGCCAGGGAAGGAAGGGAAAGGCGTGGCCGCCAGGTTTGGGATTTTGGGCCGTTTTGGGCGGTTTCTGCGGGTCTGCCCGCGCAGAGCTGAAGGCACATTCACGTCTGAGACCCTGTACGAGCCAGCGGCGCCGGGGGGGAAACCAAAAAGGACAGGAAAACACAGGGAATGTGTGGGAAAAGGAGTGGAAAGGGTCGGGGGAGATGGGGAAAAGGGGAAGGGGAAACAGGAAGAAAAATGGAGAATATTGGGGGAAAAGGGAATGGATGAAGAAAAGGAAAAAATAGAAGAAATGGGAAAAATGAGAAGAAATAAAAAAAAAAAAAGAAATGGAAAAAAAGAGAAGAAATGGAAAAAAAAAGAAATGGAAAAAAAATTAAAAGAAATGGGAAAAAATGAGAAGAAATAGAAGAAATGGGAAAAAATGAGAAGAAATGGAAAAAAAATAGAAGAAATAAAAAAATTAGAAGAAATGGAAAAAATGAGAAGAAATGGAAAAAATGAGAAGAAATGGAAAAAAATAGAAGAAATGGAAAAAATGAGAAGAAATGGAAAAAAATAGAAGAAATGGAAAAAATATTAGAAGAAATGGAAAAAAAATGAGAAGAAATAAAAAAAAAAGAGAAGAAATGGAAAAAAAAAAGAGAAGAAATGGAAAAAAAAAAGAGAAGAAATGGAAAAAAAAAAGAGAAGAAATGGAAAAAAAAAAGAGAAGAAATGGAAAAAAAAAAGAGAAGAAATGGAAAAAAAAAAGAGAAGAAATGGAAAAAAAAAAGAGAAGAAATGGAAAAAAAAAAGAGAAGAAATGGAAAAAAAAAAGAGAAGAAATGGAAAAAAAAAAGAGAAGAAATGGAAAAAAAAAAGAGAAGAAATGGAAAAAAAAAAGAGAAGAAATGGAAAAAAAAAAGAGAAGAAATGGAAAAAAAAAAGAGAAGAAATGGAAAAAAAAAAGAGAAGAAATGGAAAAAAAAAAGAGAAGAAATGGAAAAAAAAAAGAGAAGAAATGGAAAAAAAAAAGAGAAGAAATGGAAAAAAAAAAGAGAAGAAATGGAAAAAAAAAAGAGAAGAAATGGAAAAAAAAAAGAGAAGAAATGGAAAAAAAAAAGAGAAGAAATGGAAAAAAAAAAGAGAAGAAATGGAAAAAAAAAAGAGAAGAAATGGAAAAAAAAAAGAGAAGAAATGGAAAAAAAAAAGAGAAGAAATGGAAAAAAAAAAGAGAAGAAATGGAAAAAAAAAAGAGAAGAAATGGAAAAAAAAAAGAGAAGAAATGGAAAAAAAAAAGAGAAGAAATGGAAAAAAAAAAGAGAAGAAATGGAAAAAAAAAAGAGAAGAAATGGAAAAAAAATTAGAAGAAATGTAAAAAAAAGAAGAAATGTAAAAAATATTAGAAGAAATGGAAAAAAAATTAGAAGAAATGGAAAAAAAATGAGAAGAAATGGAAAAAAAAAGAAAAAGGGATAAAAAGAAAAATGGGGAAAAAAAAAGGAAAATGGAGAAAAGAGGAGTAAGAAAAATGGGAAAAATGAAGAGAAATGGGGATAAAGTGAAAAATGGGAAAGATTAAAATAAATCGAAGAAAAATTAAAAAAAATAAAAGAAATGGAAGTGAAATGAAAAAAGGTGGAAAAAATAAAGGAAAAAGGAAAATAAAAATGGAAAGGAAAACCAAAAAAATTTAAAGGAAAACTAGGAACAGGGAAAAAAAAACCAAGAAAAATTAAAAAGAAAAATAAAGGAAAACTAGGAACAGGGAAAAAAAAACCAAGAAAAATTAAAAGGAAATTAAAGGAAAAAATCTGGGAAAAAAAAATCAAGAAAAAAGAATTAAGAGAAAAATAGATGAAAATTAGAAGAAAAAGGAAAGAAAAAAAAAAATTGAAAGAAAAAAGGAAAAATAAGAGAAAACTGGAAAAATAAAAGATAAAAATACGAAGAAAAAAAATTTAAAAATATGAAAAATAAAAGAAAAAAAAAGAAAATTAAAGGGAAAAATGGACAAAATGAAAGGAAAACTAAAAGTAAAAATGAAATGAAAATAGGCTGAGGAGCAAATCCTGCCTTTTCCTGCTGCCCCTCCCAGGAGCTCCCCCGACACCTCACAGAGCTGCAAACAAAGTGAAAACTCCAAATCTCCAAACCCTGAAGCTCCTAAGAAAGAAAAAAATCTTTTTTTTTAAATTATTTTCCCCCCTTTTTTATTTTTCCAGAGGAAAAATTCCGCTCCCGACGCGGCGAGAAACCGGGGAAGCGGCAAAGAAAAAACTCCTGGTGGATTACTGGGAAAAAAACCCCCAAAATCCAATCAAAAATCCCAATTTTTTTCCTGGGTTTCCCTCTGGAAAAGAGCCAAGAGTATCCCAAAAAAAAAAAAAAAAAAGGAAAATATTGGGGAATGTTTGACACCATTTTATTCATCTTCAACTGCAGTGGAAAAATAGAAACCTTTTACAAGCGCCGGCGTTGTCAGCTCAACTCAAGTTATATATTTATATATTTTATATAAATTTCTTTTTTTTTTTCCTTTTTTTTTTCCTCTTTTTTATTTTTTATCTCGTGTTTTTCCAAGTGCAGCAAGAGACCAAAAACCACATCGAGCCTGATCCGAATCGAGCCCCGAAAAAGCAAAAAAAAAAATCCCAAATGATTCCAAAGAAACAACTTTTAATCCCGTTTTTTGTGTTTTTCTTCACATCCAATTTCCTCTCCAAACATCACCTCAATTTTAAATTTTTTTTTCCTTCTTTTTGTGCATGTTTTTATTTATTTCTTTTTTTTTTTTTTCACCTCTTTTTGAACTCTTTGGCACAATTTTGATTCTGCTACAGTCCAAGTCAGGAGATCTCTTTTCCCAATTTGCAGCACTTTTAAAAAAAATCTGATTTTGAATTTTTTTTCCTGACAGTTTTGATTTTTTTTGGAATTTTTGAAGCCTGAAACTCGCTGGACAAATGGATTTTTCTATTCCCTGCAACCCAAAACTTGTGTTTTTCCCCCATTTCTACATTCACAGTTGAATATTTAAGGAAGGAAAGGCGCTTTTGTTGCTGAGCAGGACAAGCCAAGAGCTCCAAACATTCAGCATTCCCTAAAAATAAAATCCCTAAAAAAAGCGACTTTCCTTAAATTCCATTTTTTTGTCTTTTTTTTTTTTCCCCCCTCTTTTCTACATTTTTTCCCCATCTCTTACTGCCTGAACCTCAGTTATGAAATGCAACAGCTGAACCCTTAAATTCTGTATATTTTAGATTTTTTTTAAAAAAAAAGAGAAACTGCAATGAATTTTTTTT